TTTTTTTCCCTCCGTTCCATTAATGCTTAACATCCACACACATCATCCATACTCTTGTCCCTCTCTTCCCTCAGTTACTAGTTCGCCCAGGGGTGCACACTGTGCGGGCTAGAAATACATGTAAGCATACATTCATACACGTACCGGTCTGTCGTGCTCCTCTGCATCTGTGCGCGAGGATCAAACCAGGACTATACTTCCTGGTGGGTTAAATGTGCCCTGGGAGCGTGGGGAATTGTCCCCAAGATTAAATATACTTATAATGGCCTAATGTTTCATTGTAGAGTATAGGTTTTTGTGTTGGACCAATAGGGAATGGGTCCATATATGTATTCCCTGTTTATACGTCCTATTTGTAATCATTTATTTTGCTCAATGGGAGGAGCAAAGGTGACTATAAAGGAGAGCCGTGTCTGGCACCCGTCAGTCTGCCGCTGGTTACAGAGGAGGTAACTACCTGGTAGTGATGGCAATATGAAGCCCCATGAAGCCTTGAGGGTTTGCAGCCTATTACTCGGCCCATGAGTCGAAGGCTCGCGGTGAAGCATGCTCCACTACGCCATCATGTGGACAAAGAAATGTAATACATGCCAAGGGCCTATAACAAATGGTAGGGTCTGAACATGGGCTGAAAGAATACAGCCAATGATGTGGAGACAGTTGTTATGTAAAATGTGCTTGTGTTACTTTGTTTATGTAAGTGCTTATGCAACTATTGACAGGAGTTGAAAAACAAACAATACAGTTATTCATTTTTATTCAAAAATAATAATTTTTCAAGAGTATTTGGACTCAGGCGATTTCTTTTTTTGCACAGTATTTCACCTGCCTTTGAAAAAACCCGTTCACAGGGCACAGAGGATGCAGGTGAACATAAATATGTAATAGCAAGTTTATATAAATTTGGAAATGTAAACTTATGTTTGTCCCAATATTGAAGGGGACTTTCGAGTCGAGGAATATTTGGCTCCCCCAGGTATGTTTGGACCTCCACTGTAGCGTTGGCAGTTATGTTTGGGGTTTTGGTCTGCTGGCATGTCGTGTCAAAACGTTGCCACAGTTTGCTCCCTAAAACAGAATAAACAGGTTATGAGTGACTTATTAGCACAAATAGAGTATACATATTACCTTCAGCTACAGATGATGAAGGTGGTGATGATGATGATGATGATGATGATGATGATGAAGCAGAACGGACAATGAACGTCTCAAAACTCGAGCACATTCGTCAATCAATCTTTTTTCAGCTTCTGCTGCCTTATTGGGGTTGAAGAATCCAATCTTTTTAAATCTGGGATCAAGCAAGGTAGAGAGGGACATGATGCTCATTGATTGGAGGTGGCTGAGCTTGTCCCTCAGTTGGCTTCGCAAATACTCAGCCATGTCTCTGCTCTCAGGTGTTTGGATATGGCCGATCTCCTCTTCTTCCAGAGCATTATGGAGAATGGTCAAAAGTGGAACTACTTTTGACCCAGAGACACTTTTCTCCTCGGACACCTCAATTGTGGCATAGTAGAACGGAGCGAGCACCTTCAGACAGTCTGCAATGATGTTATATTGTTCTGCTGAGATTTGTGTAATGTCTGTACGGAGCCCAGCCAAAGCTGCTCCAACAGGCTCTCTCAGGTTGAACAGACGCTGAAGCATTAAGTATGTGCTGTTCCATCTTGTATCCACCTCTTGAATAAGTTTAAGCACGGAGAGACCCATTTGTGATTGGATCTGTGTAAGTCTCTCCTATAAAACAGTCAACATATTAAAACAGTGCAGGAGCAGAAATAATAATTGACATATTACAAGTAAGGACCTTACCTTTGCAGTAGTGCTGCTCTTAAAGTATCCTACTATCTTACGACAGTTTGTCCTGATGTCACACAACACAGGACTTTGGTTGAGAGCTTTTTTGATCATTAAGTTAAGCGTGTGTGCCACACAAATTGTATGACGCAGATGCAGCTCTCGAGCACAAGCTCCCATATTCGCAGCACCATCAGTCACCAGACATGTCACCTTTCCTGCTAAACCCCACTCTGACATAAGAGAGGTCATCACTCTCGCTAGATTTGCTGCTGTATGTGCCTCAGGGAAATGCTGCACCCCAAGGACAACACTGCAGAGAAGTGCTCTCGTCAATAAAATGACCAGTCACTGCAAGATAGGCATCAGTGTTGATGGAGGTCCACATGTCTGCTGTTAAACTAACAGCAGATGCAGAAGACACCACCACTTTGGCCTTGTCTTTGGCTTCCCTGTATCTCTTCTCCACCATGGCTTTCAAAGTCTGAAAAAAGTAAAGTCTTGAAATAGTGGATCTGAGGATAATAAATTGTTAATAGTTCACATAAATACCTGCCGCGTGGGAAGAACACAAGATGGTGCCAAAGCTTTCACAAGCTTTCGGAAGCCAGTTCCCTCCACAATGGAAAAGGGCTGGGAATCCTCAATCACCATATCCACCAACGCCTCAGTCAAGTCAACCGTCTCAGCTGAAAGAAAATGCACATTAGGGTTAGAAATGTATCTAATGAACAAATACATTCAAATAAAATATATTTAGTGTAATTGTAGGACAATCATCAATTATTATCATGATATAAAATGGCCTACCCGAGACAGGGTTCACCTGGGTTGGAATCCACAATGCTATGCAAGGCACGATAGTGCCTTAGCATAGCTGAGGTGTTATTATTATAACCCAGTTGTTTGGAGCATAACAGACACTTCACCTGCAATTGAAAAAACTATTATTCAAACGTATTTATAACAGAGAAAAGTGAGCAAGAGAAATTATGTGTTGTCATATTTGTGTAATCTATTATTACAGAATTATTGATATGCCTTACCTTACTAGGTGAGATCTGCTCAAAGTGCTCCCAAACTGGAGAAAATCTTCTCTTTCTTGCCGGTTCCATCGCAAAAAAGAAGCTCAAATAGGATGCCAAATAGGATGCCAAATGAGAAGCGCAATAACCCAAAAACACACAAAGTGATGAAGGGGAATCCATTGCGTTCACTCGTCCCTTTTATTTCGAACCGCGCTCCAAACCAACGAATCATTTCCTGAATCAGTCACGTGGTACGGCCGTTCGCGAGGCTTCGAACGTCATCACACACGTGACCAATACACGCCTCGACCCACACTTCACAAGAAACGCCCCCAGATTACTCGGTCCACGCTTCGAAGACTCGGTCCGCTCAGCACATCACTACTACCTGGACTCATTAAAGGTGATCTATGTGTCCGAGTGGACCTGTCGTTTTTTTTGCTAAATTCACTGTACATATGCTCTGCACTGCCTGTACCAATTTTTATGCACTTTGGGGAAAATAAAAACACGAATAATCACTGCAATCCGAGCTCGCCTGTATTTTTTCTGAAGTAACCCACGACAGTGGGACTGCGCCCTCTAGTGGCAGAGCTATGTCCGTGGGACTGCGCCCTCTAGTGTCCGAGCTATGTCCGTGGGACTGCGCCCTCTAGTGGCAGAGCTATGTCCGTGGGACTGCGCCCTCTAGTGGCAGAGCTATGTCCGTGGGACTGCGCCCTCTAGTGGCAGAGCTATGTCCGTGGGACTGCGCCCTCTAGTGGCAGAGCTATGTCCGTGGGACTGCGCCCTCTAGTGGCAGAGCTGTGTCCGTGGGACTGCGCCCTCTAGTGGCAGAGCTATGTCCGTGGGACTGCGCCCTCTAGTGGCTGAGCTGTGTCCGTGGGACTGCGCCCTCTAGTGGCAGAGCTGTGTCAGTGGGACTGCGCCCTCTAGTGGCTGAGCCTGCTCCTACAGAACACGACTGTTTTTATCGTTCACTTTATTCATTTCACTTTCATCACATTCCATTCTACAGAAAACAACTCGACTCCAGGAAAGACCGCTTTTTACAACTTATGAAGATCATACAAATAAATACGAAAAGCAACTTTGAATCTTGTGTCCGGTGGATTTGGCTCCTGAGACTTGGACAGTACTTACATATACTTATATAGACTTATATATACTTAAATGTACTTAAACTTACACTTATATACATGTATGTTCATAAATGAAAGTATATATGAAGCTCAAGCGGATGTTCAGACTGAAAGACCGAGTGCCTGCCAATCTCACAGCACTGCCAGCCTCGAGCCTCAGCCAATCAAACAGCTCTGCCAGGCTTGAGCCTCAGCCAATCACACAGCCCGGCCAGCCCCCTGCCAACCCTCTGGCACCAAGCGGGCAGTTTAAAAGGCAGCCACTTCCTGACAAACAGCGCTTCCTGAAAGCTCTAAACACCCGCCACCTCCCCAGCACCCCCCTCGGCTCCTGCTTTGGCTCTGGCTCTGGCTCCGGCTCTGGCCCTGGCTTCTGTTCCGGCTCTGCTACACCTACGCCCCATTTTCACACCATGCTTCTAGCCACCACCAGTGATTGACCCCGGGGGATCTGAGATCATCTCAGCTGCAATCGATCTCATAGCTGCAAGTGTCACTGCCGGGGTCAATGCGCCAAACAAATAAATCATTTTAATGTATTTATCGTGTCTTTGGTCTCTTCAGATTGAAATACAGTATATGTCCAAACAGAGCAAAAGTGTGGACACCCTCTCTCCCTCACTGAGTTCTGTTCATGACTATTGCTGTAGACCCACACCAGGCTGTGTAAGGGCCGAACCTGAACCCGTCCAGATGGTTTTGGACCTGAACCCAGTCCAGATGGTTTTGGACCTGAACCCAGTCCAGATGGTTTTGGACCTGAACCCAGTCCAGATGGTTTTGGACCTGAACCCAGTCCAGATGGTTTTGGACCTGAACCCAGTCCAGATGGTTTTGGACCTGAACCCAGTCCAGATGGTTTTGGACCTGAACCCAGTCAGTCTACAGTTTTCATAATCATGAAAATAAAAAACTCTTTGAATGAGAAGGTGTCCAAACTTTTGGTCTGTACTGTACATAGATGAACATATATATAATTATATGTATAGACAATTATATGCGCGTCCTCGCGAGCAGAGTTCTGGATCAGTCTTCACCGGGGCCCGGGGCCATGCTGCAAAAAATGCCGCTCAGTGTTGCCAGGTGCAGGCGCATCTGTGCGCGCACAGAACATTAGCTCTGTGGACAGTATAGAGCTGATGTAGAGCTCTGAGGACAGTATAGAGCTGATGTAGAGCTCTGAGGACAGTATAGAGCTGATGTAGATCTCTGAGGACAGTATAGAGCTGATGTAGAGCTCTGAGGACAGTATAGAGCTGATGTAGAGCTCTGAGGACAGTATAGAGCTGATGTAGGGCTCTGAGGACAGTATAGGGCTGATGTAGAGCTCTGAGGACAGTATAGAGCTGATGTAGAGCTCTGTGGACAGTATAGAGCTGATGTAGATCTCTGAGGACAGTATAGAGCTGATGTAGAGCTCTGAGGACAGTATAGAGCTGATGTAGAGCTCTGAGGACAGTATAGGGCTGATGTAGAGCTCTGAGGACAGTATAGAGCTGATGTAGAGCTCTGTGGACAGTATAGAGCTGATGTAGAGCTCTGAGGACAGTATAGAGCTGATGTAGAGCTCTGAGGACAGTATAGAGCTGATGTAGGGCTCTGAGGACAGTATAGAGCTGATGTAGAGCTCTGTGGACAGTATAGAGCTGATGTAGAGCTCTGAGGACAGTATAGAGCTGATGTAGAGCTCTGAGGACAGTATAGAGCTGATGTAGAGCTCTGTGGACAGTATAGAGCTGATGTAGAGCTCTGTGGACAGTATAGAGCTGATGTAGAGCTCTGAGGACAGTATAGAGCTTATGTAGAGCTCTGTGGACAGTATAGAGCTGATGTAGAGCTCTGATGTAGAGCTCTGAGGACAGTATAGAGCTGATGTAGAGCTCTGAGGACAGTATAGAGCTGATGTAGAGCTCTGAGGACAGTATAGAGCTGATGTAGGGCTCTGAGGACGGTATAGAGCTGATGTAGAGCTCTGTGGACAGTATAGAGCTGATGTAGAGCTCTGTGGACAGTATAGAGCTGATGTAGAGCTCTGAGGACAGTATAGAGCTGATGTAGAGCTCTGTGGACAGTATAGAGCTGATGTAGAGCTCTGAGGACAGTATAGAGCTGATGTAGAGCTCTGAGGACAGTATAGAGCTTATGTAGAGCTCTGTGGACAGTATAGAGCTGATGTAGAGCTCTGTGGACAGTATAGAGCTGATGTAGAGCTCTGAGGACAGTATAGAGCTGATGTAGAGCTCTGAGGATAATATAGAGCTGATGTAGAGCTCTGAGGACAGTATAGAGCTGATGTAGATCTCTGAGGACAGTATAGAGCTGATGTAGAGCTTTGAGGACAGTATAGAGCTGATGTAGAGCTCTGTGGACAGTATAGAGCTGATGTAGAGCTCTGTGGACAGTATAGAGCTGATGTAGAGCTCTGTGGACAGTATAGAGCTGATGTAGAGCTCTGTGGACAGTATAGAGCTGATGTAGAGCTCTGAGGACAGAGCTGATGTAGAGCTCTGTGGACAGTATAGAGCTGATGTAGAGCTCTGAGGACAGTATAGAGCTGATGTAGAGCTCTGAGGACAGTATAGAGCTGATGTAGAGCTCTGTGGACAGTATAGAGCTGATGTAGAGCTCTGAGGACAGTATAGAGCTGATGTAGAGCTCTGAGGACAGTATAGAGCTGATGTAGAGCTCTGAGGACAGTATAGAGCTGATGTAGTGTTCTAGTTTGAAAGTCAGGTCCCTGAGCTTTAAGCAGCTGCCGCGAGCAGCAGTGGAATCCACTGTTGCGTGGAGTGTTGAGGATTATGTTTATTATTATAATATATATAATTATAGTAATTATAATAATAACAGACGTTAACTACTTCTGAGAGCGCACAGCTGCAGTCCACGGTCACAGACCGGTGCGCGTGTCCTGCGCGTGTCCTGCGCGTGTCCTTTACGCCCTTTGCATAAAGGGATTAGGCGCAGACAGTGATCCAGGAGCGGACTGTCTCCAGAGCGGCACAGCGCAGCAGACCAACGCGGCACAGCACGTCAGAACAACTTGGCACAGCGCGGCACAGCGCGGCAAACCAACGCGGCACAGCGCGGCAGAACAACGCGCACATGCAGCACCAGCGCGCGGACACAGAGCGCGTGTCGCCGCTGGCTCCGCACGATGCCAACCTTCACCGTCATGTACAAGGGAGCCGTGATCATCAGCAGGTACCGGAGGGGCCGGGGCAGGGCCGGGGGCAGGGCTGGGGTCAGGGCTGGAGAAGGTGGAGGTCCTGGAGGAGGTGGAGGTAGAGAGGGTGGAGGAGGTCCTGGAGGTGACGCAGATGGCAGTGGTTCGTGCGTAAAGCTGTTACTCTTCTGTAACGCGGTCGCGGTGAAGTTGGACTTAGTGAATAGGCTTCAGGTGGACTCCTTCCCTCAGGAAAATGTGAAAAAACACATTTGTGCGTCAGCTGCACGAGTTCCATTCATTTAACGAATGACTTCAAAAGTCCACAGCGACTAAACTGGACTGGTCCAAAAACATATACTCCCCTCAGACAGCATCTGGAACCAAGGGCCACTGGTCCTGACTCTGGTCCTGACTCTGGGTTCAGACCTCCCTCTGGGTTCAGACCTCCCTCTGGGTTTATACCTCCCTCTGGGTTCAGACCTCCCTCTGGGTTTAGACCTCCCTCTGGGTTCAGACCTCCCTCTGGGTTCAGACCTCCCTCTGGGTTTAGACCTCCCTCTGGGTTTAGACCTCCCTCTGGGTTTATACCTCCCTCTGGGTTTAGACCTCCCTCTAGGTTCAGACCTCCCTCTGGGTTCAGACCTCCCTCTAGGTTCAGACCTCCCTCTGGGTTCAGACCTCCCTCTGGGTTTAGACCTCCCTCTGGGTTCAGACCTCCCTCTGGGTTTAGACCTCCCTCTGGGTTCAGACCTCCCTCTGGGTTTATACCTCCCTCTGGGTTTAGACCTCCCTCTGGGTTTATACCTCCCTTTGGGTTTAGACCTCCCTCTGGGTTCAGACCTCCCTCTGGCCGGTCCTCTGAGGACTGGAGCAGCTCTTTCTTGTACTTGTGTTGTGATTTTTGAGGACCCTGTCGGAAACGAGATGATGCATCTCAACGGGCTCTTCTTCCTAATAAAGATGTGTCAAACGTACAACCATTTTCCAGTATGCACATCCTCTTGGCAGGTCTCTGTGAGTTCACATGGATCCTCTTGGCAGGTGTCTGTGATCTCCGCGTGTCTGTATCCTCTTGGCAGCTGTCTGTGATCTCTGTGTGTCTGTATCCTCTTGGCAGGTGTCTGGGATCTCCGTGTGTCTGTATCCTCTTGGCAGCTGTCTGTGATCTCTGTGTGTCTGTATCCTCTTGGCAGGTGTCTGGGATCTCCGTGTGTCTGTATCCTCTTGGCAGCTGTCTGTGATCTCCGTGTGTCTGTATCCTCTTGGCAGGTGTCTGGGATCTCCGTGTGTCTGTATCCTCTTGGCAGCTGTCTGTGATCTCCGTGTGTCTGTATCCTCTTGGCAGGTGTCTGTGATCTCCGCGTGTCTGTATCCTCTTGGCAGGTGTCTGTGATCTCCGCGTGTCTGTATCCTCTTGGCAGGTGTCTGTGATCTCCGCGCGTCTGTATCCTCTTGGCAGCTGTCTGTGATCTATGTGTGTCTGTATCCTCTTGGCAGGTGTCTGTGATCTCCATGTGTGTCTGTATCCTCTTGGCAGGTGTCTGTGATCTCCATGTGTGTGTGTTGCAGGACTCTGATGGGACCGTATGGAGTGGATCGTGCTGTGCACTCACTGGAGTTCAACGAGTGTGAAAACGGACTGGGTTAGTCTCACAGACACACAACCATACACACAGACACACACACATACACAGACACACACATACACACAGACACACAACCATACACACATACACAGACACACAACCATACACACTAACACATACACAGAAACACAACCATAGACACAGGACCATACACACAAACACACAAACTCATACACAGACACATAACCATACACACACAGACACACAACCATATACACACAGAAATAGACTAAGACATTTATTCTTGTATTTCCCAAACATTATGTTAAAGTCAGAGATGTTGTTAGTACAGAGTATTGTTCACGTGTGCATGTGTTAGAGATGTTGTATTTTAGTACAGAGTATTGTTCACGTGTGTTAGACATGTTGTATGTTAGTACAGAGTATTGTTCACGTGTGTTAGAGTTAGAGATGTTGTATGTTAGTACAGAGTATTGTTCACGTGTGCGTGTGTTAGAGATGTTGTATATTAGTACAGAGTATTGTTCACGTGTGTTAGAGTTAGAGATGTTGTATGTTAGTACAGAGTATTGTTCACGTGTGTTAGAGTCAGAGATGTTGTATGTTAGTACAGAGTATTGTTCACGTGTGTTAAAGTTAGAGATGTTGTATGTTAGTAAAGAGTATTGTTCACATGTGTTAGAGTTAGAAATGTTGTATGTTTGTACAGAGTATTGATCACGTGTGCGTGTGTTAGAGATGTTGTATGTTAGTACAGAGTATTGTTTACGTGTGCGTGTGTTAGAGATGTTGTATGTTAGTACAGAGTATTGTTTACGTGTGCGTGTGTTAGAGATGTTGTATGTTAGTACAGAGTATTGTTCACGTGTGTTAGAGTCAGAGATGTTGTATGTTAGTACAGAGTATTGTTCACGTGTGTGTGTGTTAGAGATTTTGTATGTTAGTACAGAGTATTGTTCACGTGTGTTAGAGTTAGAGATGTTGTTTGTTAGTAAAGAGTATTGTTCACATGTGTTAGAGTTAGAAATGTTGTATGTTTGTACAGAGTATTGTTCACGTGTGCGTGTGTTAGAGATGTTGTATGTTAGTACAGAGTATTGTTTACGTGTGCGTGTGTTAGATATGTTGTATGTTAGTACAGAGTATTGTTCACGTGTGTTAGAGTTAGAGATGTTGTATGTTAGTACAGAGTATTGTTCACGTGTGTTAGAGTTAGAGATGTTGTATGTTAGTACAGAGTATTGTTTACGTGTGCGTGTGTTAGAGATGTTGTATGTTAGTACAGAGTATTGTTCACGTGTGTTAGAGTTAGAGATGTTGTATGTTAGTACAGAGTATTGTTCACGTGTGTTAGAGTTAGAGATGTTTGTTAGTACAGAGTATTGTTCACGTGTGTTAGAGTTAGAGATGTTGTATGTTAGTACAGAGCATTGTTCACGTGTGTTAGAGTCAGAGATGTTGTATGTTAGTACAGAGTATTGTTCACGTGTGTTAGTCAGAGATGTTGTATGTTAGTACAGAGTATTGTTCACGTGTGCGTGTGCTAGAGTCAGAGATGTTGTATGTTAGTACAGAGTATTGTTCACGTGTGCGTGTGCTAGAGTCAGAGATGTTTTATGTTAGTACAGAGTATTGTTCACGTGTGCGTGTGCTAGAGTTAGAGATGTCGTATGTTAGTACAGAGTATTGTTCACGTGTGTTAGAGTTAGAGATGTTGTATGTTAGTACAGAGTATTGTTCACGTGTGTGTGTGTTAGAGATGTTGCATGTTAGTACAGAGTATTGTTCACGTGTGTTAGAGTCAGAGATGTTGTTTGTTAGTACAGAGTATTGTTCACGTGTGTTAGAGTTGGAGATGTTGTATGTTAGTACAGAGTATTGTTCACGTGTGTTAGAGTCAGAGATGTTGTTTGTTAGTACAGAGTATTGTTCACGTGTGTTAGAGTCAGAGATGTTGTATGTTAGTACAGAGTATTGTTCACATGTGTTAGAGTTGGAGATGTTGTATGTTAGTACAGAGTATTGTTCACGTGTGTTAGAGTTGGAGATGTTGTATGTTAGTACAGAGTTTTGTTCACGTGTGTTAGAGTTAGAGATGTTGTATGTTAGTACAGAGTTTTGTTCACGTGTGTTAGAGTTGGAGATGTTGTTTGTTAGTACAGAGTATTGTTCACGTGTGTTAGAGTCAGAGATGTTGTATGTTAGTACAGAGTATTGTTCACTTGTGTTAGAGTCAGAGATGTATACCTGTGTACCCAGGACTGAGACTGTAGACCCAGGACTCTAGGGGGGGAGGGCAGGTTCAGAGGCCCACTGAAGAGTCCCGCTTCAGCCTGTCCATCACCAACACTAGGAGTGGTCGGATGTAATTTTATTATTAAAAAAGTGAAGAAAGTCAACACTGCTCAGTGAGCTTGGTATTTTATTATTATTATTATTATTATTATTATTATTATTATTATTATTATTATTATTATTATTATTATTATTATCATTATTATTATTATTATCATTATTATTATTATTATTACTGTTGTTTTTATTTGCTTCTATTAAATTGAGGATTGAGGATTGAGTTTAAGCGAAGTGCGTTCTTGTAGTTTGGGAGACCTGCTCTCCCATTGGACAGGCTCCGAGTGGGAAGGGCTTCTGCAGTTTCCTAATGTTCTGTGGATATTGTACCAGGACTGAACCAGGACTAAACCAGGACTGAACCAGCACTAAACCAGGACTAAACCAGGAATAAACCAGGACTAAACCAGGACTGAACCAGGTCTAAACCAGGACTAAACCAGGTCTAAACTAGGACCATGAGCAGGACCATGAGCAGAGTGAGGTGTGTCAGTGACGACAGAAGTAGGTCAGAGCTAAAGCTTTAACCCAGAGGGAGACACAGCAGGTCAGGATAATCCTACACACACACGCACACACACACACACACAGAGAGAGACAGACACACACACATACACACACTCACACACAGAGAGAGACAGACACACACACACACACACACACACACACACACACACACAGAGAGACAGACACACACACACACACGCACACAGACACACACACACACACAGAGAGACAGACACACACACATACACACACACACACACAGACACGCACGCACACAAACACACTTGCACAGGCACACACTCGCACAGTCACACACACTCGCACACACACACACACACACAGGCACACACTCACACAGACACACACACTCGCACACACACACACACACACGCATAGACACACACACTCGCACACACACACACTTACACACACACTCGCACAGACACACACAGGCACACACTCGCACAGACACACACACTCGCACACACACACACACTCGCACAGACACACACAGGCACACACACACACACACTCGCACAGACACACACAGACACACACACACACTCTCGCACAGACACACACAGGCACACACTCACACACACACACACACTCGTACAGACACACACACACACTCGCACAGACACACACAGGCACACACTCGCACACACACACACACACTCGTACAGACACACACAGGCACACACTCGTACAGACACACACACTGGCACAGACAAACACACACACACACTCGTACCTACACACACAGGCACAAACTCGTACAGACACACACACTGGCACCGACACACACACACACTCGTACAGACACACACAGGCACACACTCGTACTGACACACACAGGCACACTCTCGCACAGACACACACAGGCACACACTCGTACAGACACACACAGGCACACACTCGTACAGACACACACACACACACACAGTAACAGCGTCAGCAAAACATCACTCAACATCTCGTCAAGAAACTGACCTGTGTTTGTTTCTCTGCTCTGTGACCTCACTATGACCTGTGACATCACTATGACCTGTGACCTCACTATGACCTGTGACATCACTATGACCTGTGACCTCACTATGACCTGTGACATCACTATGACCTGTGACCTCACTATGACCTGTGACATCACTATGACCTGTGACCTCACTATGACTTGTGACCTCACTATGACCTGTGACCTCACTATGACCTGTGACATCACTATGACCTGTGACCTCACTATGACCTGTGACATCACTATGACCTGTGACATCACTAGGAGGAGGAGATGAGGAGGAGGAGGAGTAGGAGATGAGGAGGACAGGAGGAGGAGGAGGAGGAGGAGATGAGGAGGAGGACATGAGGAGGAGGAGATGAAGAGGAGATGAGGAGGAGGACATTAATAACCACTGCCATAGGTTGGGTCTGTGGCCCTGTGCCCAGCTGGAATCTGGAACAGTCTTCCTGAACATGTGAGCCAGGCTTCTTCTCTGACAGTGTTTGAATCCAGTGAGACCTGTGCTGTACAAAGAAACAACTGTGATGGTTCTTCTGCACTCTCCCTCACGTGCACTCTCCCTCACGTGCACTCTCGCTCACGTGCACTCTCCCTCACGTGCACTCTCGCTCACGTGCACTCTCCCTCACGTGCACTCTCCCTCACGTGCACGCTCCCTCACGTGCACTCTCCCTCACGTGCACTCTCCCTCACATGCACTCTCCCTCACGTGCACTCTCCCTCACGTGCACGCTCCCTCACGTGCACTCTCCCTCACGTGCACTCTCGCTCACGTGCACTCTCCCTCACGTGCACACTCGCTCACGTGCACTCTCCCTCATGTGCACGCTCGCTCACGTGCACTCTCCCTCACATGCACGTTGGCTCACGTGCGCTCTCCCTCACGTGCGCTCTCCCTCACGTGCGCTCTCCCTCACGTGCACTCTCGCTCACATGCACTCTCCCTCACATGCACGCTCCCTCATGTGCACTCCCCTCACGTGTACGCTCCCTCACGTGCACTCTCTGTCACATGCACTCTCCCTCACGTGCACTCCTCTCACGTGTACGCTCGCTCACGTGCATGCTCCCTCACATGCACGCTCCCTCACGTGCACTCTCGCTCACGTGCACTCTCCCTCCCATGCATTCTCCCTCACGTGCACTCTCCCTCACATGCACTCTCCCTCACGTGCACTCTCCCTCACATGCACGCTCCCTCACGTGCACTCTCCCTCATGTGCACTCGCCACACGTGCACGCTCGCTCACGTGCATGCTCCCTCACGTGCACTCTCGTTCACGTGCACTCTCGCTCACATGCATTCTCGCTCACGTGCACTCTCGATCACGTGCACTCTCCTCAGCTGGAGACTCGTCTGAATAAAGACATGAAAGTCTGAGTTATCTCAGTTCCTCCTACTCCTCTCAGCTCCTCCTGCTCCTCTCAGTTCCTCCTGCTCCTCTCAGTTCCTCCTACTCCTCTCAGTTCCTCCTACTCCTCTCAGCTCCTCCTGCTCCTCTCAGCTCCTCCTGCTCCTCTCAGTTCCTCCTACTCCTCTCAGCTCCTACTACTCCTCTCAGCTCCTCCTGCTCCTCTCAGTTCCTCCTACTCCTCTCAGCTCCTACTACTCCTCTCAGCTCCTCCTGCTCCTCTCAGCTCCTCCTGCTCCTCTCAGTTCCTCCTACTCCTCTCAGTTCCTACTACTCCTCTCAGTTCCTCCTGCTCCTCTCAGTTCCTCCTACTCCTCTCAGCTCCTACTACTCCTCTCAGCTCCTCCTGCTCCTCTCAGCTCCTCTCAGTTCCTCCTACTCCTCTCAGCTCCTACTACTCCTCTCAGCTCCTCCTGCTCCTCTCAGTTCCTCCTACTCCTCTCAGCTCCTACTACTCCTCTCAGTTCCTCCTACTCCTCTCAGCTCCTCCTGCTCCTCTCAGCTCCTCCTACTCCTCTCAGCTCCTCCTACTCCTCTCAGCTCCTCCTACTCCTCTCAGCTCCTCCTGCTCCTCTCAGCTCCTCCTGCTCCTCTCAGCTCCTCCTGCTCCTCTCAGCTCCTTCTACTCCTCTCAGCTCCTCCTACTCCTCTCAGCTCCTCCATCTCCTCTCAGCTCCTCTTACTCCTCTCAGCTCCTCCTACTCCTCTCAGCTCCTCTCAGCTTCTTCTGCTCCTCTCAGCTCCTCCTGCTCCTTTCAGCTCCTCCTGCTCCTCTCAGCTCCTCCTGCTCCTCTCAGCTCCTCCTACTCCTCTCAGCTCCTCTTACTCCTCTCAGCTCCTTCTACTCCTCTCAGAAGACCTGTGACATCACTATGACCTGTGACCTCACTATGACTTGTGACCTCACTATGACCTGTGACCTCACTATGACCTGTGACATCACTATGACCTGTGACCTCACTATGACC